CAGCCAGCCATGCTGGCTGGGGAATTCTGGAGTTGAAGTCCACGCATCTTAAAGTTGCCAAGTTTGAAAAACACTGCATTAGGGCAAATAAAAAGGCTAGCATCAAGATGGGTTTCCATCTTTAATGAATGGAGAACTCTCAGATCTTCCTTTGCTATTTCAGTATGGCAAGGCTATCAGATCTGGGCTGCCTTGATCCAGAAAAGTAGCAGATGGCAGCATAGAGATGCAGAAAACTTTAGTTTTATACCATCTGGTGGTCATCCACATCTTTTGTCACCGAAATCTGGTCACTCTAAAGAAGAGACCAATGTTGGGGCGATGGGCCATCTTGTTTCAACTTAGTTCCTGTGCTTATTAAGGGAATAAAAAGCAGAAGATTCCAAGAGAAAGAATTTGGTCATTGGCTAACAACCTCAGTTCCAAAGTTGCCTTGATGATCCAAAGCAGATGTCCTAGTTTAGCAGAATTCTTACTGGAGAAAAGCTTTCAAAAGTTGAATCTGCTTAAATGCGGAACTTGAATCCAGAAATTGTTGGTGGCCAGGTTCTGTCAGCCCTTTGAGGTAGGCCAGGTCTGGAAACAGACACCATAACAAATACAGGAACTCTATTGTTATAGGGTATAACAGAATTTTGAAAGCTTGCCAGAATCTTGAAAGTCTACCAGAGTTTCCCTCTGCCCATCTTATACCAAACAGAATCAAGGAAGAGTTATCTTGAGTTGCTTTTTCACCCCTTCTTCTGTCCCAGAACTGAGCTGTGGTTTCCTTCATGGTTCTTGCATTCCTTCTTCAAGGTTACCTTCTTACTTCTCTATACCCACTCTTTCTTGACTACCCCAAGACTGTTTCTGAAACTTACCTTGAATTCCCATTTATCTCAGCTGATCTCATCTCAGTGAATGGCAGTACCTAGCTGACCTTGTCTGGGTTGAAAAGCTAACCTGGGTCAGGTTTTGTTAGTACTTGCATGGGAGATCAGAAAGAAATTCCATGGTTGTAGTCAAAGAGAGACCCCAGAAGGTAAGTCCAAAACACTTTCATAATGTTGCTAAAAGGACTTCATCATAGATAGGTCCATGAAATCACTAGGAATCAAGGGAGACCCAAAGCCAATTTTACCCTTACTGTCATAATGCCCAATAAATAAATACATGAACCCATTTAGTTCAAGCATTGCCATACCTACCTACCTACCAACAAAGTGGCTGTGTTCATAAACAAACTACAAACCAGACCATATTTTAGCCTAGCACACTTTATAAACCCAGCTCCTGTGAGGTGTAGAGTTCAGGGCGTAGTATGGATGAGGAAAATTTGCTTAATGGAATAAACCTATGGTTCACTGGATCCTAAGTATGCCTATTGTGTCAACACAACACAGTCTTAGTTTGTTTAAAGAACAGCCTCACTTGGCTGAACGTGTTTTTCTAACTCTCTTGAAAAGTCCAGCCCTGCTCTGCAGGTTGACCTTGAGAAGAAGCAACCCAAGATTTTAACTCCATGCATTTCTGAAAAGTTCTCTACCTGGAACTTTTCAAACTGACCCTCTATTTTCTGCCTTAGATCCCAGTCCTGCTGGGTTCTTCCAGAGGGAAGATACAGGAGACAGAATAAATGGGACATTTCCCTGTTGTGTTGGGGATATCCTCGGCTTGGGTAATCCTCAGGGACACTCCAAAGTTTCAATTACACAAGGAGTTAGAAATGGCAGAAGCCCAGTAGTACAAGCAGAAGAGGTTACTCACAGCTGGAGAAACACCCAGAAAAGAAGCTGGTCCAGAAATTAAAAGCCAAACCAGTCCAACTCTTAGCTGACGTTGTAGGAGCCAAAAAGAGAAAGGCAGAAAACAATACTCCAATCAAGGAACTACCAAGGAGAAAACCACACCCCTACCAAAACTGGCAGGGGAAGCTACCGTATATAAACATGGAGCAAACCTCACACTTACTCACACTAATGATGTTACCTAGTTGTGTAATGAAACTTCTGCAAACCAAACTCAGAGAGCACCACGGACTCCACAAGAGAAAGAAAGTCAGCTTAACACACCAGGAAGTAGATCTACAGGCTTATGAGTGACAGTCACTGCTCCTAATAGAAGAGAATATGCATAGCTCAGGGTTGAACTGTGGAGTCCTTGGGTTCTCTGAGCTTGGTTGTTTTCCTGCAAACATTTCATTAC